GGGGGGGGGGGGGGGGGGGGGGGGGGGGGGGGGGGGGGGCGCCAGGGAGGGAAGAGGAGGCAGCAGAGCTCGGCTACCCTTAGAAGGGAGATTGGGCGGGCTCCTGAAAGGAGACGCGGGAGCGGTCCTCGTAGGAATGCGGCGGGGAAGCGGGGTGAGTGTGAAAGGGTCGCCGCCGCGGCACAGGAGGGCGGGAGGGAGCTGGAGCGAAAAAGGGCAGGAGAGAAGCTAAACCGTCCTTTCTATTGCTCTGGTGAGGGCCGAATATTTGCAGGGGCTGGTTGGAAAGGCCTAATTTTAGTATGAACCTTGAGTCGTGGTGGGGGGAGCTGAACGGCGAAGGCACTCTGCACATGATCCAAGGCAATCCTGCCATAGCTCACGGGTGGCGTTGCTAACAGTTGGGGGGAGTCTGATAACTTCAGCGACGCCTCCTTTTCTCTCTCTCTCTCTCTCTCTCTCTCTGAGCGCCTGAAAGAGCGCCCATCATTAACCAATTAACCAACGCCAGCCTCGGAATCCCTTATTTCGGCATAATTTGGGACGAGAGCGGAGCCGTAAAACCAGGGACTTGGCGAACGAGGTGCAGGTTCTTTTTTTTTTTTTTTTAATCAACATCCTCAGCTAAAAACTGAAGTGGGGTATATTTTGTATTGCTTCCCCAAAGCCAATATTCTTGTTGAGATTGTTAATAAACCAGATTAAAAAAAAAAAGGAAAACAAGGGAGAGATTCAGCGTTGCATTCAACTGTTTTATCACCCATGATTTCAGTCTAGTGCAAGAAGTTTTTAGATCTTCAGTTGATTTTCTATTCTTCTGTTTAATGTGTTGGCCATAATGGTAGCCCTTTCAACGGTCTTCTCACCTCTTAGTAGAAGAATAGCAATCACTTTGGTGCTTCAAAGAATGGACTATCTCTGCTCTGGGAATTTATCTTTCTTGTTATGTTCAGCATTTTACGTGCCTTTTGTAAGTTCAGGTTTTCCTATAACTCTACGCAAATCGTTCCTTGGTGGTTGGCAAGAGCTGTTAGACAGCTATGCCTGATTACTTTAGATTCCTTTGATTCTTCGGTGACCTTTCTGCCGCTCTTGCGGAGGGCATTAGCTCTTGGACATTGTAGCCTCGGTGGAACATCTGATTGGCATGAATGACTCAGAAGCATTCTTCTCTGCATGTGGGGCTTCCGTGGAGCTGAATCAAACACTTCTGGAGCCTGCTTATCATCTCCTTTTGAATCTCAAAGGGAATCTTTGAGCAGGCCTTGAATTTCAGTGTCAGCCGTTCCATGCTCATCAGAATCACAGTGTTCGCGGTTTAGACAAACAAACAAAAATCTCCGCGAAAAAATGTTTTCTCCTTTTGCCTTTATAACCAGATCAAGGCATCAGCTAACAGGAACTTGAAGTGGTTCATCTCTATCTTCTGCTGATTCATCTTTCTCATTGTTTTTTTTTTCCTTTTCTTTTCATGATAGCCAATCAGCCTGTCCTAGTTTGGAAACTGCAGAAGTTTTAGAATTGGCTAGATATTCTGAGAGATTGCAAAGCTGCTAAACTCATCCTTTATCCCACAGTCAATGTGCGATTTATTAAGCAGGAAATAAACTGAGTTAACGGAGCATTTTCTCAAAAACATTTAATATGCTTTTTTTCCCCATGAGATTAGACTTTGCTGTCCTCTCTCCTCCTCTTTTAAAACCTAATATTATGTAGATGGAGAAGAAGGCATCTGAGTCTTCTGGTCTAGGAATTGGCAAACTTTTCGGGCTTCAGACGCTGTCCAAAATCTTATGAAATAGCTCCAATACCTTCTGCCAAACAATTCCATTTGAAATTTCATAACATTATACAATTTTGATAATATCTCATCCTAGAATCTTGCAAGATCTTGACCTGGAAAGTCAAAATTTTAGGAGTTTGGTGAGGGATTATTGAAATCTCATGGAACGTTTGCTATTTTCCTTATTTTTATTTATTTTGGTTGGTTACAATTGTCATTTGCAAGGCATAAGTGCCTGAAGCCCACAGGTCCCTGTCTGTAATTCATTGACTACAATATAATGGCTATGTTAGCAGCCCCTGTTTTTATTAAGGTTCAATTCTTCTAATTCTGAATTAATCTAAGAAAAACTCTGTTGCTTTCACTTTCTCAATAATTAATAGAGAAAATTATTTGGTTGGGTTAAAGCATTATGATAGCAAAACCATTCTTGTCAAGGATTGCATTGCAGCATATTATAGAAATACTTTTCACTGTGGATGGCTTTGCTTTATACATATTATGGATGAGGAAGAAAGCCTTGTTTTTAAATGTTATAGGGTTAGCCATAAATTAAGTGTGCTTAAGTTGTATAATGAGGTCTGCAAATCTCATTTCCAACAATAATTGTTTTCCCCCCCCTTCTTTGGAAGACAATGTTTTTCCGTTTAATCTGACTTTCCTTGAATTGGTTGTATACCTGCTTGGAATATTGAATGATGCCAAACTTCTCTCAAATCCTGTTTTGCTTACTAGGAAACACGAGAACAGGCTGGCTAAATTAAACACACTTCAAGCAGAATAATTTATCAAAGGATAAAATATTTGGTCAATTATTACATTGTTTGTCCCAGGCATCCGCTGCCTAGATTTTGCTGGTGGCCAGTAGAATATTTAAGAACCTTTTTGGTATTATGTTACACGCCAACAGTACACTTACTTTTGAATGTATAATTCACCCCTTATTTCCACTTTAGGGCTTACAATAAAAACCACATTAAACACATCACGTCCTTCCCTTTGCTTACGTACTTGCTGTATAAGCTACACAATTGAATTAATCTTGTCTTTGCTAAAGTTTATCTCTTCCTTGCCAAAGCCAGGCAGCAGTTCCCAGAATTTGTAGTCAGTAAGCGTTAGCTGTGGCTGACAAAGAAAGTCACAACAATGCATTAGTTTACAGCGGATTTCTGCAGCCTTATTTTAATGGCATCGGCTATTCCAGGGAGTTGCAAACGCAGCTCAGTTGAAGGGTTCCAGGTTAGCGAAAACTAATAAGTACCTTTAGTTCCCATCCATGTTAAAAAAATTTTTTTTCTTTGAATTGTGCTTCATTTTCTTCTGACTTAAATATTTAAAATTTAAGAGATGGCAAAAAGTAGAAGATTGCCTGCATCTTGCTTGGGTGCTAGGTTAGGTTCTGTTACATCTACATGTTAATTTGAGGCATGATTAACAGTGTTTGTGTTTAGGATGATCTCGCTGCCTGTACATTTAATGTTTGATACCCAAAGTCCCAAATTAAAACAATACGTTACGTAGAAAAATCCAAAGCATTAATTCATTTATTTGTATCCTGCCTTGGTTAATTTTACAAATAACTCAAGGTGGTGAATGTATCCAACACACCTTTCTCCTCCTGTTTTTCCCACAACAACAACAACAACAACAACCCTGTGAGGTGGGCTGGGCTGAGAGGGACTGGCCCAAAGTCACCCCAGCTGGCTTTTGTGGCTAAGAGGAGACTTGAACTCACAGCCTCTTGCTTTCTAGCCTGGTGCCTTAAACCACGACACCAAACCAGCTCTCATTATAATTGTATATTACCTTAAAGAAATGCACGTAGCTCTTTTTCACTTTCTATTGCAGGTGGTTGAAGAGAATGGAGTTCGGAAGGTCATAGTTATGCCACACTCGACTGAATTTCACCCCTCCATGCACCCACCGCCTCCACATGTGCCCCATTATATTCACCCCCACCCTGCTTTGCTCCCCCACCCGCCTCATCCTGTGTACCCACCGGTTCCAGGAACGGGGGACATCCCACCGCAGTTCATTCACCAGCATCCACCACCACCATCGCCTCATCTTTACCAAGATCAAGGTAAGACATTAGCTGGAAAGGGGGGAAAAAAAGCAATCTTATAGCAAGCTCACCTGCGCTTAGGTGGGCCAGAGCTTGATGCTTCCTTGACTGTTTGATACCTGGATATTTCCAGAACCAATGATGAAACTTTCTCTCCTTCTGCAGTTGGTTTCTGATGTCCTTATGGGGATAATGGCAATAGCGTTTAGAATTATATACTGCTCCATAGCACTTTAGAGCACATTGTGAGTGGTTTCTATCAGCATACAGCCCCCAAAATCTGGGTTCTCATTTTATTGACCTCAGAAGATGGAAAGCTGGGTCAACTTTGAGCCCTGTCAGGGTCAAAGTCCAGGCTGTGGGCAGCGTTAGACTGCAGTAACCACTGCACCACCAGGGCTCCTTGACTATTATCTAAAGCACCTTCTATTTGCATTGGAGTTTTGACTCCCAGCTTGGTAAAATCTGGAAGTTGGAGGCCTTACACATTTGGAAAGCGTGAAAGTAGATCTTGATTTATTGGGATCTTCTTCAGATGCCGTCCTATAATATCACAGATGTTGTAGCACGAGCTTCTTACATGGTTTAACTGTATGTGTTAGAGGTCATCTGAGTTGCTGGCTGAACCCAGCCTTTTAATGGAAATGTTATTTTCCCTGTTCCCGGCATTGTGGTTCAGAAAATGGGCAGGCCTCCTTTGTAGAGGCAGCAGAAGACACACTCCATTTTGGAGTGGTGAAGTTGTGAGGTACTGAACCTAACCTATTGAAATGTTTTTGGCGTGACCCGAAGCAAATAGTTCTTGCAAAAGAACCCTTGAAACTTCAGCGAGTTGAAGCAGTGCTGTGAAGAGGAACTTTCCACAGTGGCTACATTCAAAATTATTTTTAAAAAAAGTTTGATTAAGCCGTGTTTTTTATGGAGAGACCTAGAACAATGTTTTTCAACCTTAGCAACTTTAAGATATCTGAATGTTGACTCCCAGGATTCCCCAGCCAGGATATCTTAAAAGTTGAGAAATACTGGTCCAAAGCCATTGTGAGCCACAGTGATGCAAGTGGTTAGAATGCAGTATTGCAGTCTAATTCTTCTCACTGCCAGCAGTTCAATCCTGACCGGCTCAAGGTTGACTCAGCCTTCCATCCTTCCGAGGTGGGTAAAATGAGGACCCAGCTTGTTGGAGGCAATATGCTGACTCCGTAATCTGCTTAGAGAGGGATGTAAAGCATTATATAAGTCTAACTGCTATTGCTATTTTTAGTTTATTTCACAAACTTTCTGTCACCAATGCAAATTTAGAGCAATTGTGTTCAGTGCAACTCTACTGTCTGGAAGGGAGAAGAAGAAGCAAAAAAAAAGAAAAAAAAGAATCAAGCACTTCAAGTAGTAAAGATCATTTATCTATCTTGCCTACACTTTGTATAGCTCAAGATGGTATAGATAATGCTTCCTATAAAGGAGAATATTTGTGGCTCAGGGTTCAAATGAGGGGTCCTTGGTGGTTTTCTTGCAGATATTTCATAACCAAACTACTGTAGATAATAGTACTAGAAAGGAGTGGGGTTTAGGAGGAGGAAGAGGAGGGAGGGGTACTGTCTGGTCTTTGGTGCTCTCTGAGCTTGATTGTTTTCTTGCAGACGTTTCATTACCCAAACTGGGTAACATCATCAGTGCTAGTAAGGACTCCTGGTGGTGTTATCTAGTTTGGGTAATGAAACTTCTGCAGGAAAACAACCAAGCTCAGATAACATCAAGGACCCCACATAATGCTTCCTCCTTCCATTTTCCCTACAGCAGCTACTCTTCGAGGTGGGTTCGGCTGGGAGAAAACCCTCGCCCCACGACAACTAGCTGGCTTACAAAGTTTTCTCAATTGCAGGGTGCTGATTTCTCTAAAAGCAAGCTTCAGTTATGGATTTTTTCCTCTACAGGGGAAGCTGCCCCCATAGTCCAAACAGGCTTGCAGAGCGGAAAAAAAAAAAAAAGGGAAGTTAAAAGTTCCCTGTTTACAGGGCTAGCATGCCTGCAGCCACCTGTACTGGTTATGAAATACAGGTAGCCCTTGACATATGACCACAATTGAGCCCAAAAGGTCTGTCGCTAAGCGAGACTGTTGTAAAGTGTATTCTGCCCAATTTTACGACCTTTCTCGCCACCATTGCTAAGTGAATCTGCCTTCCTTCCCCCATTTGCCAGGACACTGCAACCATCATAGATAAAGAGTCATTTGCTGAGTGTCTGAATTTTGATCACATGACCCACGGGGAAGCTGCAGTGGTCGTAAGTGTGAGAAATGGTCATAGTCCCTTTTTTCAGTGCTGCTGTAACTTTGAACAGTCACTAAATGAACTGTTGTAATACGAGGACTACCTGTGTGGCATTACTATTTAATAAAATCATATCGGATCCTATTTTATACCTTACCCTAAGTCTTGTGCTTGTTGACACTCTTTTTTCTCTTATATAAAGTCATGCATATACACACTCGATTTCTGCTTATTTGTATATGTTGCAAAAAGGGGCCTGGCTGTTAGCACCGCCAGGCCCATGTTGCAACATATACAAATATGCAGGAAATTTTACATTTCTGATTCCATATCTATCTAAGCCAGAAGTCTCCAAACTTGGCAACTTTAAGACTTATGAACTTCAACTCCCAGAATTCCTCAGCCAGCATGGTTTACTCTCTTGTAATCCCTTCCTCTGCACTCTCTCCTCTTTGGAGGGGATAGAAGAAAAAGGAACAGACATGGCCGGCTGAGGAATTCTGGGACTTGAAGTCCACAAGTCTTTAAAGTTGCCACGTTTGAGGACTCCCGGTCTAGGCCTTGAAGGCATTTAAACACAACGCTTTACAGTTGTGTTCCGTCTAACGGGTCCTTTTTGCCTTTGCCTCTCTAGAGTCCCGTTCCCATAGCAGAGCAAACTTTGTTCAGCGAGACGAGAGGACTCTCAAAATGCAAGAACACCTGAAGAAGAGGCTAAAAGACCGGCAGGCCACTGGACATACGAATAACAAGGCCAACAGCCCTCCTTCCTCACCTCACAAAGCCAACAGCGCCTCGTCTGGCACCAGCGTTCAGAACGGCTACGGAAAGGGGCAGCCAGGCACCGTAGGGCAAATCAAACAGAAGCATATAGGAAAAACCCGTGGAAGCCCCATCCCTTCAGCCGATTCAGGAATGGGAGGTACATAAAATTTGGAGGGTTTTTTTGGGGTGGGTGGGAAATGGGTGCATTTCAGTTGCACGTAAGCTTTGGAGCCATGGGGGAAGTAGGCTACCTGTGAATTGGTAAAATCAACAAGTCCATTTCCTCCGTGGGAAAGGAATAAAACGGCGATGTCTTCCTATATGGTACCAGGAGAGGACTCTTATTTTCTCCCATCAACTGGGCGATGTGTCTATTCAGAAGATGAAATGCTTCACTGCTGGGTTAAAGTACCATAGAAGCAAAGGTATTATTAAGTGGGGGCACTGGAGTTCCCTGGGCCAAAGTCATCGGCAAAATATAATTGGGCCTGATTCACTGTCCTACAAACAGCCAGTTAGTTCTCCAGTGAAAGAAAAGAAAAAAAAAATGCCATCCAGAAAGAAACACCCGTAATCATAGGTTCCTTTGTTTCGATTGGCTTATTCAGCCCTTTGCATTCTGAACTCTGAGCCACGGAAGTCTTAAGCAGAAAAGCGAACATAATATTATCTGGAAACATGCAAATCTTTCCCCTTTTCAGTCATTTAGCATTCCTAGTGTTGAAGCTTTAATCCTAATTAACAGATGCTTTGAAAGGTTCCCAGGGCAGGGAATGTAGCCTGTCCTTTGAGGAAAGTTTGCTTATTATTTGTTTATGTTGTCTAATCTCAAAAATGGACCCCCCCCCCCCCCCCCCTTTACGAAAGTTTTCTAACGAAAGAAAATGTTCTAAACTCTATTTCCGAAGTGAAGGAGAACTTGCTCTTTTTAAAATTGGCCAAAGGCCATGCAAGATATGTGCAAATTCTGGATGGCATCACGGGGCGAGTTAAAATGAAGCCTGTCCTGTTTTCCTCCTTTTGAGCAGACTTGCAGGTTTGGCAGATTCAGTGGTCAAAACAAATAAGGCCAGTGAACTTTGCTCAGCTTGTGTTTTGCTGCTTCCAACAACTTTTATCTGTTGGCACTGCAGTTGAAAAAACATTTGACTGGGGCTTTTTTTGTTCTGTTTCCCCTTCGCTTAATGTGTTGTTGTGGTTTTTTTTCCTCCTAGAATCTGACACAGAGTCTAGAAAATCTGAAGAACTCTTGAGCTTCAGTAAGCCTACGGTAAGTTGCAATAAACTAATCAAGGGCTGGGGACCTTCTAACCTCAAACCAAACAAAGATTTAAAGTTATATCAGATTTGGTTTTCAGTTCTGTATCTTAAATATTACAAGTGAAACATGTCTGTAACCTCTTTAACTGCACTAGGAGGACAAATTCATCCACGTGTATAGATGTTTAAATAAATAAGAAGTGGGTGGAAAATAGAACTTGACTTAGCCTCTAAGTTCAAGTAGGAAAGGATGAGGACAGGAGAATACATGACGCCAGGAACATCCACAAGATGGCTCCAAAGGCAGCCTGGTGAAAGGAGCATCCTTTAGATCCAACCATGCCCTGTTATACCTTATACCCTATAGCAATAGCATTTAGGCTCATATAGCAATAACAATAGCACTTAGACTTATATACCACTTCATAGTGCTTTATAGTTTACAGTTTACAGAGTCAGCATATTTTCCCTAACAATCTGGGTCCCTATTTTACCAACCTTGGAAGGGTGGAAGGCTGAGTCAACCTTGAGCCAGTCAGGATCAAACTTCAGGCTGTGGGCAGAATTAGCCTGCAACACTGCATTCTGACCACTGGGAGGGAGGGAAAGCAGTAGCTATAGCACTTAGACTTGTATACCGCTTTATAGTTCTTTACAGCCCCCTCTAAGCAGTTTACAGAGTCATCATATGTCCCCCGACAATCTGGGTCCTCATTTTAGCGACCTCAGAAGGGTGGAAGGCTGAGTCAACCTTGAGCCGGTCAGAATCGATCTTCTGGCAATGAGCTGAATTAACGTGCAATACTGCATTCTAACCACTACACAGCCATGTCTCCTTATATACCACCCCATAGCACATTACAGCACCGTGGGTGGCACTATCTTCTTACAATGTAGAAGCATTATTTGTATTCCCCCCCTCCCAACAATCTGTGACCTCAGAAGGATGGAAGGCTGTGTCAGCCTCGAGCCCCATTGGGATCGAACTCCAAGCTGTGGGCAGAGTTAGCCTGCAATACTGCACTTCACCACCAGGGCTCATGATGACGATGCACCAGACCCATCCAGTTGGGATGTAAAAGCACAGTGCAGCTGTCATCATTTTGGAGAAAGCAGCAAAACAACCACATACTGCATGCTTGTATTGTAAATGGTCACCGTCTTCCCTTTGCTTTTCAAAGGTCTCTGAGATAGAGGCGCGTTCAGCAGTTATTTCTTGGAATGCCCCAGCTGCAGCCCAGAATGAAGAAATGCAGAGTCCCGCTCCTGAAGCCTTTACTTTTGAAGTGGCAATCTCGAATAGCGGTAAAAATGGAAAATTTAAATCCCTTTACAGGTGAGTCCACTCTCATAATTGAATGGCGTAGCTTTCTTAGCTGGCAACTTGACAGCCAGTGTCAATCAGGGTTGCTTCCCAGCTTTGTTTCCGTAGAAATAATTGGAAAAGTTGAGCTTATATTTGTTTCCGCTGTTGAACCTTTGAGTGCCAAATCCCAGAAGTAAATTCTAAGATTAGCTTGCAGACCTAATTTTTATTCTCTGCCATCCTTTCTGATACCTAGTTTTGCAAGTTGCATTTGCTAGCTGATTTGTCATTGTAAGCATGTTTTTATTTTAGGATTTTCCCCTCTGCAAAAGGCAGAGGAGGATATTGTAGCTCATTATTTTGTTCTTGTTATGATCTAACGGTGTCTTCCCCCCGCCCCCCTCTACAGTGGTGAGGATGTCACTTTTACTCTATCTGAACTCCGACCAGCAACTGATTATCATGTCAGGTGAGCTTGGAATGCAAACGTTTATCAATAGCAAGACAATAAAACAAAGATCACAATGTTTGAAATTTGAAGGGTTTTTTTTGGGGGGGGGGGGGGGGGACGTCCATCAAAGGGTTCAGGGGACATGGAAATTGCACCAGTGCCAATAGAGGACTTTTGGGGGGGTTGTTTTTAAACCTTCTTATGGCCCTTATTGGAGAATGTTGGTGTCAGGGCTCCGGCAGTTACCCCCATTTAAATCATGGGTCTCTAGCCGAACTTCCAAAGCTTAAAGAAGATTTATTAGGAGTAAACATGCTGGCTCTGCCTGGGTGTAGCCGACTCTGAGACACATCATTCATTGTCACCCTTGACCCTGGTTTTCCCCTCACCCCCTGGGTGTATCGTAATTCATATTCTCCAATGGGACACATCCATCGCCAAGAGTCATCAATCATGCTCTCCAGTTAGAATTTTGCACGGCAGAAACTTCAGTCACCTAGTTACTATCTTTGAAAACTATTTATGGAATGCAGTTTCGGTTTTGCAAACGGCTGCACTGCTCCCTCCTTCCTTGTTGTCACATAAAATGAGGTATAACGGGTTTTGCCAGTTTAAGGCAGGTACAGTGGAACCTTGGGTCACAAACGCTTCTGACCACGACCAAATCGGGTGCCGACCGAGACTGGTCGCAGACACATCCTCGGGCGGCGTTCAAACACAGCCATGGCAGTGTCCCCTTCCGTGCCCATTTTTTTTTGTGCGTGCATGCACAGTCAGTCTCGCTTCCGATCATGACCAAATTGGGTTGCGACCGAAGTCCTGGAACGGATTACGGCCGTGACCTGAGGTTCCACTGTATTTGGGTCTTGAGAATGGGGAGAAAGGAATCTGGATATGTGGGTCTCTTCTAATGAATCTACCATAAGAGGGATTGATTCCAAATGGAAGTTCCTGAAATAGATGTGTCTCATAAGAGCCCCATGGTCTGTTCTTTTTCACAGAGCTCAATGTCATTGTACTGTATGTTGGTAGCTTCGCTTCCTGGGTTTATTTTGTTTCGTTGTATGTTTGGCATTAAATTAAATGAACAGAGTTGGAAATGACCTTGTAGGTCATCTAGTCCAACCCCCCCACCCAAGCAGGAGACCCTATACCAGTGGTGGCTAACCTTTTGGGGCTCCTGTGCCAATAATTGCATGCTCGCTTGCGTGCCAGCACCCAGAAGGCAATGCGTGCGGGTCCCCCCACGCCCCCTGTGCATGTGCGTGCAACCTCTCTGCGTCTCTGTGCATGTGTGCATGACCTCCCCGCACTGCATGTGTCTGTGCATGTGTGAGTGACCCCCCTGCGCCGCGCATCTCTGCGCATGCATGCACATCTCCCACACCCGCCCCTCCCACATGTGTGCCAGATACCCGACAATCAGCTGTCAGGCGGGCAGCGCGCATGCATGCGCAGTAAACCTGCTCTGGGTGAGGGCTCGTGTGCCGGCAGTAATGGCTCTGCATTCCACTCCCAACACACGTGCCATAGGTTCGCCACTGCAGCCCTACGCCATTTCTGACAGATGGCAGATTGCTGATCCTTCAGTTTACTGAATGCGCTTATATGGCCCCCTTTCCAAACGTTTCCCCATCTCCAACTGACCTTCAAAATGAACATATAACGAGGAATGATAGCAGAATCCAGAAAAAAACGGGATAAGACCTGAGGCGTTTGTTTTTATAGCTATATCTTTGTCTGTGTTGACTTCATGCAGAGTTTCAGCATTGGGTCATTCCACAAAGGAATCTGTTTCAGAGCTGGTGAGTTTTACCACCGAGAGTTGTGAACCAGATCCTCCAGCTGCACCAAAAGTAGTCAACAAAACCAAAAACAGCCTGACTTTACAGTGGAAGGTAAGAGCAAAGCCAAGCATGGATCCTAACCTCTGTGGGTGGGCCATAAATGAGTTTTCACAAGAAATAACAGATTTCTCCCCTCCCTCCTTGTAATGATCTTCCTTACCAAGTGACAACTTGCTTTGAACGCACTCCGCTTCCATTACACACAATTTTGTAGTGCTGGCACTGGGCAATGATTCAACATTGTTTTTGCTTTTTAAGCATGCCTGGAGGTGAGGGTGAGAGATGTCGGGCCTGAAGGCATTCTTGGAGATAAAGATTTCATTTATTTATTCAGTTGACATAGCCACCAACTCACGCATAGGAGACTCCAAGTACCATATAGTAAAATCCATTAAAAAACACAGATCAAGATTATTGGGGGTGTTGCTTAATGAGGCTATACAGGTAGTCCTCACCTTGCAGATAGTTCATTTAGTGACTGCTCCCTCCTCCTCTTCTTTCCCCTTGCAGAATGAAAGTCCATATAGAGAATGGTGGTGTGTTTTCTATAGGGATGAAGTAGTATGAAGTAATTTCCTCTCTAAATAACCTAACAAGCTAACCTTCTTTTCTTTCTTTCTTTCACAGTCCTCCAATGACAATGGGTCCAAAATAACTAGCTACCTTTTAGAATGGGATGAGGTATGCTTCTTGTGTTTGATAAATTATTATAAATCACAATAATTCTGGTGTTCTGATCAAGGCATTGGTCTGCATTTGGATAAAATATTCAATGCAAATGCTGAGAGATGGCTGCAAACTTGTAACTTCAGAAGGAAGGTGCCTGCTTTCACTCCCAGCCAGTCCACTTTCCTGGGAGGCAAGAAACAGAATTTCCAAAACAGGTTTTCAGCACCTTTTGTGTTAAGATTTTGGGAGCTTAAGCTAGGATTTGGTAAGATTTCAGGTGGATGTTAAAAAAGCAAGGATGCCTTAAAAGGCTCGTATGAAGATCATAAATTTCTCAGAATTGTAAAGCAGCATGGGCAGCATCGATGGATAATAGCTAGTTGTAACATTGTCCATTTGATTCCTGTCAAGCTTAATTCATAATCTGGCTGTGTAAGCCTTAACCAAGGCAGTCTTGTGTCCCTATTACATTATATTATTAGACTGTAGCCTTTATTGTCATTATACATTATGTGCACAATGAAATTGGTTTAGCCTCCATATACGTGTTATATTCCTGGCTGTGGGTTTCTAATAAATACAGGTGGTTTTGTTTTTAACAAAACAAAAACCTTGCCCTAAAAGATTAGCACCAGAATGCTTTTATTACCAAAATGGTCGTTTACGTTGCTATTTAAAAAAGAATATATTTTGGATTATAAAATAATGGCATTAAAATTGGCTTGTCAAGGAGAAATTGTATTAGATCATGGACTTTACTGCACTCTCTGGCTTAATTTTAATAAGAAGCGACTGGGCAGCCATCTGTCTGAAATGGCACATTGGCCCTCCCGATTGAGTAGTGGGATTAGGCTGCAAGACCTCCCAAGGGTTTCCCTCCAACTCCGTCATTGTGTTCTTCTTTGAAAAGGGGAAGACTGGAGCCTTCAAAGAGTGCTACTACGGCCATCTAAAGCAGCACAAAGTCACCAAGCTGTCCCCCTCGACCAAATACTCATTCAGACTAGCAGCCAAAAACGACATCGGCATGAGGTAAAAAGGGGGGGGCGGGAGGCGTGGTAAGTTCGCCATTTCCACAAGGACTTGTGTGACTCGGCTTCTTCCCTAACTGCACAATTGTTGTTATTATTATTATTGGGTCTTCCCCAGTGGGTTCGGAGAGACGTTGGTCTGCTTCACCATCGGGGTTGTTCCGCCGCCGCCCCTCCCACCCCAGCTAAGTAAGGCCGGCGTGAACGGGTTGTCCCTAAAATGGGGGCCTCCCAGCGGCATTTCATCGGACGACTCTCTGACGTACATTTTAGAAATGGAAGAAGACGGTTCGGTGAGTAGCTTTTGAACCCAGAGCCTTGAGTAGCGGGGGGGGGGGGGGGGGGGGGGGGGGGGGGGGGGGGGGGGTGCCCCCCGGGGGGGGGGGGGGGGGGGGGGGGGGGGAGGGAGAGAGAAGACTTGGAAGAGAGCAGCTGCCCTCTTGGGGTGGATTCGGAGGTTACCTAGTGAATAATTGCTTTCTGTGCCAGTTTGCCCATCCCGAGAGGATCTGGCAGTCAGCAAATCCTTCTGAGAGTCATTTAACCTCAAAATGGTTGCTACTCAGAAGAAGGACAAACGCAGTAAACAGGAGGGTTGCATAATGCTTTGGATTCAGAGAAAAGGCGGTGGGGGGGAAACTGCTTTGGATGTGACTGGGGGATATCTGAATGTTTATTAGGAATAATGTCTCTGTCGAGCATGGGAGGAGGTGGCTAACCCCCCCCCCCCTAAAAATATCGGAAAATTGTTGTTATTCCAGAAGTTTTAAGAAATCGTTTTTGGAAATGCGGAATCCACTTGTTTTGAGAAAGGCAATATTTTCTAATAATCATAGGATGAAGCAATTCGTATTAGTATAACAAAGCTTCTGGAATGTTTTGTAACATTGTTTTGTGTTACATTATGGGCTTATTAATAAACCAGTGACTATTGATAAATATATACACTGCTCAAATAAAGGGAACACTTAAACAACACAATGTAACTCCAAGTCAATCATACTTCTGTGAAATCAAACTGTCCACTTAGGTAGCAACAGTGATTGACACTCAATTTCACATGCTGTTGTGCAAATGGAATAGACAACAGGTGGAAAGCATAGGCAGTTAGCAAGACATCCCCAATAAAGGAGTGGTTCTGCAGGTGGTGACCACAGACCACTTCTCAGTTCCTATGCTTTCTGGCTGATGGTTTGGTCACTTTTGAATGCTGGCAGTGCTTTCACTCTAGTGGTAGCATGAGATGGAGTCTACAACCCACACAAGTGGCTCAGGTAGTGCAGCTCATCCAGGATGGCACATCAATGCGAGCTGTGGCAAGAAGGTTTGCTGTGTCTGTCAGCGTAGTGTCCAGAGCATGGAGGCACTACCAGGAGACAGGCCAGTACATCAGGAGACGTGGAGGAGGCTGTAGGAGGGCAACAACCCAGCATCAGGACCGCTACCTCTGCCTGTGTGCAAGGAGGGACAGGAGGAGCATTGCCAGAGTCCTGCAAAATGACCTGCAGAGGGCCACAAATGTGCATGTGGCTGCTCAAACGGTCAGAAACAGACTCCACGAGGGTGATATGAGGGCCTGATGTCCACAGGTGGGGGTTGTGCTTACAGCCCAACACCATGCAGGACGTTTGGCATTTGCCAGAGAATACCAAGATTAGCAAATTCGCCACTGGCACCCTGTGCTCTTCACAGATGAAAGCAGGTTCACACTGAGCACATGTGACAGACGTGACAGGTCTGGAGACGCCGTGGAGAACGTTCTGCTGCCTGCAATATCCTCCAGCATGACCAGTTTGGCAGTGGGTCAGTAATGGTGTGGGGTGGCATTTCTTTAGGGGGCTGCACAGCCCTCCATGTTCTCGCCAGAGGTAGCCTGACTGCCATTAGGTACCGAGATGAGATCCTCAGACCCCTTCTGAGACCATATGCTGGTGCGGTTCCTCCTAATGCAAGACAATGCTAGACCTCATGTGGCTAGAGTGTGACAGCAATTCCTGCAAGATGAAGGCATTGATGCTATGGACTGGCCCACCCGTTCCCCAGACCTGAATCCAATTGAGCACATCTGGGACATCATGTCTCACTCCATCCACCAATGCCAGGTTTTACTACAGACTGTCCAGGAGTTGGGGGATGCTTTAGTCCAGGTGTGGGAGGAGATCCCTCAGGAGACCATCCGCCACCTCATCAGGAGCATGCCCAGGCATTGTAGGGAGGTCATACAGGTACGTGGAGGCCACACACACTACTGAGCCTCATTTTGATTTGTTTTCAAGACATTACATCAAAGTTGGATCAGCCTGTAGTGTTTTTTTTCCACTTTAATTTTGAGTGTAACTTCAAATCCAGACCTCCATGGGTTGCTAAATTTGATTTCCATTGATAATTTTTGTGTGATTTTGTTGTCAGCACATTCAACTATGTAATGAACAAAGTATTTAATAAGAATATTTCATTCATTCAGATCTAGGATGTCTTATTTTTGTGTTCCCTTTATTTTTTTGAGCAGTGTATATAAGGTAGATTTCCCTCTTCCCCCATCTTTGACGTGAATGCAGATTCTTTAACTGGGAACACAAATCCATTCTGAATAATTACTGGGATTGTTATTATTATTTTTTTAAATTACAGTTGTCATGAATGTACACATTATATAATCCTTGGCTATAGGATGGAAACTTTACTAAGAAATATGTGAACTCTGGACGTGTTTTTTCTTTCTGCAGGATTATGGCTTCCAAGCAGGGTACAATGGAGATGAGCTTTCTTGCACTTTAAGTGATCTTAGAAGAAACACTGCCTATAAATTTAGGGTAGGTGCCAAATCCAGCTGATGGACACATCCACGTGCTGAGAAACCCCTCATTCTTCCCCGAAAACTGCTCAGTAGTGACTTGTTCCTACAAACTTGGTGAAATATATAACCTCTAGGCTCTAGGAGAAGTTTAGATTTCCACTAAAGACCTTGGAAATTATTTGATTGAATCCTTCCTTGGTCCCCTCTAGTTCAATACTGAGAAACCTAAGTAGCAGCAACTTTTTAAGTTTTTTTTTTTTTTTTACAATTTCTAACTGGAGACACTGGGGATTGAATTTGAGATTTTCTTTACGCAAAGCTGATGTCATTGACGTACAGCTCTTCTGTGAACCTCGCTACGCTCCCCAGTCTTCAGCTATCCTTTATTAGCTTGCAAAATATCTTGTTCATTGATTGGAAGATCATGAAGATTCTCAAGTCTATAGAGTCCTTAGTGCTCTCTGACCTTGGTTCTTTGCTTGAGGATGTTGCGTTATCCAACGAGGTTGGACATGAGTACCGGCAACTAGACTAGAGCTGTAAGGGACCTTGAAGATCTTCTAGTCCAACCCCCTGCTCCTGCAGGAGACCCTGTACTATTTCAGATAGGTGATTTGTTCAGTCTTTTCTTAAAAACTTCCAGTAATGAAGCATCTACAACTTCTGAAGGCAAATGTTCCACTGGTTAATTGTCCTCACTCTTCGGAAGCTTCTCCTTAATTCCAAGTTGCTTCTCTCCTTGATCAATTTCCATCCATTGTTTCTTTTTCTTGCTTTCTGGTGCTTTGGAAAATAAATTGACCTCCTCTTCTTTGTGGCAGCCCTTCAAATACTGGAATTCCGAATAATGGAACAGTCGAATAATGAAATACCCACAAGCGAACAACCAGTCTCAGAAAGCACCAAGGACACCATAGTTCAACCCTGAGCTACAGAGATTCTCTTCCTTTGAATTCTTGGGTCTCCCAACTTCCCCTTTTCACCACCAAATTCTGCAAATCTCCTGTGATAGCCCTTTCTGTTTACCTTGTGCTCAACTCCATAATTATTTTCATGTGTTATGAGGAGAGAGAGGTTATTCTACACGTACATATATTCTTAGAGTCGTGTGGAATTTCAGGCTTTTTTGTGGCCCCTATAGGCCAATAATATATGGATATCTAATGGAGGAAGGCATTTCAAAGGTGTTTTGTCGAAAAGCAACTGGACCTTGTTTTTTCCTTGAAGACAAAGACGCTTCTCATCCAAGAAACTGAAGAAGAACTGAAGGATGCGTCCTGGATGAGAAGCGAAACGTCTTCAAGTGAAAACACAGAAAATCCAGCTGCCTGGAAAATAAAACAAGTTAAAACTGAGTAGATGAATATATGGAGCAGTGGTGGCTAATCTTTATGGGCTCCTGTGCCAAAAATTGCGAGCGCGCCTGCACTCGCGTGCCAGCACCCAAAATGCAATGCGTGCCCCATGCCCCCTGTGCATGTGTTCACAATCCCCCACTGTACCTCACAGCTAATTTTTCAGCTGGTTTGAGGCCTTTTTTGGCCTCCCAGAGGCTTGGAAAAAGCCTCTACAAGGCTTCTCAGACTGAATTATAGGCCCGTTTCGTCACGGGCCTATAATTCAGTCTGAGAAGCCTTGCAGAGGCTTTTTCCAACCTCTGGGAGGCCGAAAAAGGCCTCAAACCAACCGGGGAAAACAAAAATCAGCTGTGAGGTGTTCACATGCGCAGCAAGGTAAGTTTGCCTGCGGCTCACATGCCAGCACAAGTGGCACGCGTGTCATAGATGTAGAGGAATAAGTTAAGATTGTTGTAAAAGTAATAGATATAAGAAATAATGGCTTATAAAGAAAACGTGATTATTGTTATATTAGTAAGAAAAGTATTAATTATAATTGTTAGCACAAAATATATGTACCAAGTCGACACACTTTATTAATGAAAGATGGAATTATTGTAAATATAAAAAAGGAAAAGGAAATCCAGTTGCCTTTTGAAAAAATACCTTTGGCATGTTTTTTTTAATATGGGGAACAAAGAATCAAAACTTCCTCCCTTAAACGTCTATGGAGATTCTCGCTCTGATTTTTTTAAAACAATGAAAAACCACCTACACGTTTTTAACTTAAGTTTGTTCTCTTTTGCAATGGGACAGTTGTTTGCTCACAACACTGAAGGGAAAAGTGGGCCCAGTGAAGTTGTGGAGTATAGTACCTGCCCCGACAAGCCTGGACCACCTAGTAAACCAACTGTAAAGGGAAAAATCCATTCCCACAATGTGAAAGTGACTTGGGGTAAGAAAAACTTGATTCCTTTGTGGACGTTTTCCTTTGTTCCCTCCCCTCTGCTGCCCTGCCCAATCCTTAGCCGTATAAAATGGAAAGAGAGGGGCCGCATTCACGTTGCATTTTTTTTTCCTGGTTCTGTAGCACATTGCCAATGTTTTCAGAACTAATCTGAGGTCAAATAAAAGGCAGTGCATTGCTTTCTGTAGAGAAGAGCTAAATTAATCCTGCTCAACTAAAAAGCCTTCCTTTCCGAGCCCAGCTCTTCATTTGAAAATAGACAGAAGCATCGCTGAAGACAACCTTCCTTAATGTATTTTTTCAGCCCCGTGAAGTAATTGCAGCTAACTATCATTGACTTTAAAACTTTGGTTTTCTTTCAAATTTTGAACTGTTTCTGCATTTCTTCTTAAATTAGACCCGCCAAAAGATACCGGAGGATCAGATGTTTCTTCGTATATCTTAGAAATTTCCGAAGCCTCTGCTGGTAAGCATCTGAATAATTCATTTCTCTGTATATTTTTTTTAAAAATGGAATCAATCACGCTTTGAATTGATCCGGGGGTTTTAAGGAGAAACTAGACAGCCACTTAACTGAAATAGTATAGGTTCCCCTGCTTGGGACTAGGGATCTTCCAGCTCCTGTTTATTCTATTCTATTCTATTCTATTCTATTCTATTCTATTCTATTCTA